TTATAACTGATGTTAAAGCAACATTGGACTACTTCTGGCTTCTAGGTAGCATAAAGTTCATGGCTAATGTGAAGAAGCCTTGTAAAATTGGCAGGTGTTAATAGTATAGTATTAGTATCATGCATGATTGAGAACGAATAAAGTATGTCCTATGAGTGAATAGGAGTTTAAGTGGGTATCGATGTCAAATTGTGCCCAAGAGGCATGTATTATTTGTACTTAACTTGAAAATTGACTGTATTTTTCAAATACAAGAATGCTGAAGCATGTCTTGTTACCCTGTGTAAATGGCTTTAAATTGTTCATTTGAGTGATGCTTCTGTGATTGCATTGAATTTAACAGCTGCCAAATATTACTCCTTATGCATAGAGATTGGATTGCAATTTTTTGCTCTTGTATATTGGTTTTGAATGAAATTATTTTGAAATGAAGAGATTGTGGTTGTTTTGCAGGAAGACACGTGGTATGGGAGCTGCTCGTAAGCTGAAGGACCACCGCAGAAGGCAAAGGTGGGCTGACAAGTCATACAAGAAGTCCCATCTTGGGAATGAATGGAAAAAGCCATTTGCTGGCTCATCTCATGCCAAGGGCATTGTCCTAGAAAAGATGTGAGATTATTGATACTCTTCCTCGCTTGCTCTAAAACATGGGATATTATAACTAATGCTACTTTTAGGTTTAAACTGAATTTCACAAATTGTGGACTGTTAATGCAGTGGAATTGAAGCTAAGCAGCCGAACTCTGCCATTAGAAAATGTGCTCGTGTTCAGCTGATCAAAAATGGGAAGAAGATTGCAGCTTTTGTGCCCAACGATGGTTGCTTAAACTACATTGAGGAAAATGTAAGTTTCATCTTTCAGCATGTTAGATTTCAAGGAAACCTTGGTGAATTTGACCAAAAAGAAAAAGAAAAAGAAGGAATCCTTAGTTTATAGTTTTAAATCTTTTATAAGGTCTTGTTCGTGCTTGCCTTCATCCGTTATTTTCTCAAGTTAATGATATATTTGTTGCGTTTGGTGCAGGATGAGGTGTTGATTGCTGGATTTGGACGGAAGGGGCATGCTGTGGGAGATATTCCCGGAGTCAGATTCAAGGTTGTGAAGGTATCTGGTGTGTCTCTGTTGGCGCTCTTTAAGGAGAAAAAGGAAAAGCCAAGGTCTTAAGCTTGTTGAGTGAGCTCATCCTCAAATCTCAGTCATGTAGCTTTGTTTTTCATTTAGATGATGGTTGTTTCAACTTATCAGTGACTTTTGGTGAAAACAGTTTCTTATCCCAATTTAGATGTATCAAGGACGACAAAATTTTGGAAATGTAGGATTATCAAAATTCAATTGGTATTTATCTATGGTGATGTTCTGGTTATGATCTCAGTGATGTCATAATATGGTACTATCATAGTTCTTTGTAAAAGCTTTTGTATTTTATGACCAAGTATTGCACCTACTTGGTTATTAACCAATAAAAGCTCACATTTTCTTATTAACCAAAAAAAGACAATATGAACAGCATGCAGCTTAGCTCAAGGCTCAATGAAAAAGTCCCGTAAATTACATTTACATGGGTTTGCTATTTACAGGGGTCTTGCCAACATATTACGAAGTTGAAATTCAAGGAACTTGAAATTCAAGTTAATGACTATTTTACTAGGTTAGACCATTGAATTCTTGTATCATGTCAACAACTTGAAATTCAATTTAAGAAGTTGAAATCCAAGCTAATGGCTCTTTTACTAGGCTAGACCATTGAATTCTTGTTTCATGTCAACAACTTGAAATTCAATTTAAGATCGTTCAAACCGTAAGTCCTTCAAGATGTATATTTTACCTAATATAAACAAGCACAAGCTCTATTTCACATCTTTATTTATTGTAACCATATCACGCGATCTTTTATTATTGCAGGGAAAGAAAGCATGACTTACCTTTGATCTTGTGTTCATAACTTTTGTGTTTCCGGGACTAAAACATAAATTTCTTTTATGGATGAACTAGAACATAAACTTTGTACCCTGACTTTCTATTGTTAAATATTATCCACATATTACTAATTAAGCTTATTAACATATCACAGCCAGACCTTTAAATATTATACAACTTTCTACTTTATTTTATCATTTAAGAGAAGGCTGCAAACAGTTATATTCACAAGTGCTATACGTTTAGGCTGAGGTCACCACCTCAACTTTCAAGTTTCAACCACTGTGTTAATTGACAAGAACTAAGGGTTTGCTCTGTGGATTGTTCATTTAGCATATAATTTGACAGAACTTTTCATATTTTTTTTTAAAAAAAACTGATATAATCACATGTACAAGGAAAATGGAAGGAAATTAAATTAAGATCATGAATCAAAAAGTTAAAGTGACACTGACCAAACTAAATATGTTTGTTCTCATTATTTCTTCAGGACCCGAAACCCTAATTATCATCCAGTATCCAACTAGTAAATACAATGCACGATTCAATTGGATGTATCCAAGAAAGATAGAATTTTGGAAATGTAAGGTTATTAAAACGATTGCTATTACATTTTAGCGGCAAGTTATGATTCGTAATCTTTCATATTGTGTTCACATTATTGTTTCTTTTTTGTTTCTGAGACTTGGCAATTGTACCTTGAGTTCTCAAGAGTTTCCACTTATACTTTGTCCTTAATGTTATCAATAATATTGTTGTTGATGCCCAAAAATGGGATCAACTTGGGCTTTTGGGCATCAACGAGATAAGACCGTACATCACACAATTGCACAGAAAACACACGATGTATCACACAATCACACAAAAAACACACGATGTATCTTGGTTCACTCAAGTTTTTTTTGTCAAAGGTAGAAAGGGGGAGGGGGATTTACTCACACACACTAGTGCTTAGGAGTTCCGAACTTGAGACCATTAATCTTAGGCCAAACATACTTTTTCACTATGGTATGACCCCATTGATGTTGTTCACTCAAGTTGGGTTACGTCAACTTCGGATTTTCACTATGAGAATTGGGTTGATTACATGTTATTAGAGGCATGAAAACCTTTGAGAAAACGTGAAAGTGAAAGTCTATAGTGTCTTAGTTACAATGAATGGAAAGTTCCCTTGAATTGGAGTTTGATCTTCCTGGAGTGTAAAGGAGAATTTCCCGATGAATATTTCATTAGCTTTGATACAGCTTATATACAGACTTTAGTAGAGATACAAAAGGTAAGAAATATAAAATACAATCAATTACAATGAATCAGTAATTAGAATCAGTGACAACGAATATCTAATCAATGCAATGAAGGAGAAGGATCTTGCAGAGGAATTGGAGGAGAGTTGACCGGGCTTGATTGCTGCACTAACACCCCCCCGCAAACCGGACGGGCATGGCTGGACGAGTTTGGAACTAAGAAGATGATGACGCGGTTTGTGAAGAGGTTTAGTGAGAAGTTCGGCAAGTTGATCAATGGAAGGGATGAAACAGACCCGGTGGCTGCCTAAGGAGACCTTTTCTCTTACGAAGTGATAATCGAGCTCGATATGACGAGTACAAGCGTGAAAGACGGGATTGGCTGCCAAGTATGTGGCAGAGAGATTGTCGCAGTGGAGAGAAATTGGAAATTGGAGATGAACACCAAGTTCGACGAGCAAGTAGGACAACCAGGTGGTCTCGGCACACGCATGGGCTAAGGACCTATATTTAGATTCAGTGCTTGAGCGGGATACCGTGGGCTGCTTTTTAAAACACCATGAAATCAAGTTGCTACCCAAGTATATCAAGTGGCCGGTGGTGGATCGGCGAGAGTCGGGGCATCCGGCGCAATCTGCGTCAGAGTATGCGGTGAGGCTGGCATGAGAGGACTGAGGAGAAAGTGTTAACCCGAAATCAATAGTCCCTTTGATGTAGCGCAAAATACGCTTGACAACGATCAAATGAGAGGAGCAGGGAGCACTCATGTATTGTGCGACGGTGTTGACTGCAAAGGCCAAGTCAGGACGGGTGATGGTTAAATATTGGAGACATCCCACAAGTTCACGATAAGAGGTTGGAGAGGACAACAAGTCACCATCAGATGCGGAGAGGGAGGTTTTGGCTGCCAGCGGAGTGGAGGTGGGTTTGCAATCCAGCATATGACTACGTTGGAGGAGATTGTGGGCATATGGTTGTTGTGAGAGATGTAGACACCCATTGGAGGTGGTGACTTGGAGGCCCAAAAAATAGCTGAGGGGCCCAAGATCTTTAATGTCAAATTCACAGCCCAAGGCAGAGATAAATTGTTGGAGAAATCCAGAATGACTGCCAGTGATGACAATGTCATCAATGTATAACAAGAGAAAAATTGTGTGTTGCGCATGATGATAAATAAAAAGGGACACATCCGCCTGACTTTGAGTGAAGCCAGTAGAGAAGAGAAAAGAACTAACGTGATGAAACCAAGCCCGAGGAGCCTGTTTGAGACCATATAGGGCCTTGTGAAGCTTGCAAACATAGTGAGGGCGAGTGGGGTCCACAAAACCGGGGGGTTGAGTCATATAAACGTCCTCATCTAGAAACCCATGGAGAAAGGCATTCTTAACATCAAGTTGACGGAGAGACCACCCGCAAGAGACTGCTAGACTCAGAACGGTACGAACAGTGGCTGGCTTGACAATCGGACTAAAGGTTTCAGTGTAGTCGAGACCCGGTTGTTGGTGGAATCCTTTGGCAACCAGACGGGCCTTATATCGTTCAATACTGCCATTAGATTTCCACTTAATTCGAAAGACCCATTTACAACCAACTGCAGCATGCAAGGGGGAAGGAGGAACCAGAGACCAAGTATTGTTCTTAAGGAGGGCGTTGATTTCTTCTGTCATGGAGGAATGCCATTCTGCATGCTTTTGAGCCTGAGAGAAACAAGTGGGTTCATTAGTAACACCAACTGAAAGTAAACCATAAGGGAGGGGTATTGCACAGTTCCATCCGTGCGTGTTTTGGGTTGAGTTACGCCAGCACGGAGTCGGGTAACCATGGGATGAGGAGGCGGAATGGCAGCATGCGCAGGCTGGGTGGAGGTAGATGTGGCGTTGGGCAAGGCCAATGTAGGAGTGGGAGAGGTAGGAGGGTCGAGAGAAGTAGTTGGGTCTAGGTCTGGACATGGGCTTGGGTCTGGACATGGACCTGGAGAGTTGGTGAGGCTGGGACTGGGTGCAGAGAGTGGGCCGGGAGAGATGGTGGAATCTGGAAGGGTAGATGGACCAGGTAGGGGACACGGGCCTGGTTGGGGGCACATGCCTTGTGATGGGCTAGGGCCTAGTGATGGGCTAAGGCCTGGTGATGGTCTTGGGATAGGAGACAATGCTGTAGGGGGAGTCGGGCCCGAACTAGTGGGTGTTGGGGCCAGTAGGGGGCGTGAGTTGGAAGATATGGATGGTGTGGTTGGATTTGGCGGAGCAGGTAGTAGACCCAAGGGCAGTATGTCAAGCTCAACTGTAGTAGGAGGGATGACAACCTGTGAAGACTGAAATGGAAAACACATTTCATTAAATATTACATTACGGGAGATATAGACCCGACCAGTTTTTGGATTAAGACAACGATAACCCTTATGGTGAAGACTGTAACCAAGAAAGACACATTCGATGGAGCGACTCATAAGTTTGTTGGGAACATAAGGACCAAGATGGGGAAAACAGGAGCACCCAAAAACACGAAGATGAGAGTAGGAAGGAGGACGACGGAAGAGAACAGAGTAAGGGGTGATCCAATTAAGGACGGGTGTGGGGGTTAGGTTAATTAAGTGGACAGCTGTAAGGGCAGCGTCGGCCCAAAAACGATAAGGGACTTTGGATGTGACTAAGATAGTGCGAATCATGGTAACGATATGACGATGTTTACGTTCAGCAAGGCCATTTTGTTGAGGGGTGTGGGGACAAGAGAAGCGTTGTTGAATACCACGAGATTTACAAAACTCAGAGAAGGCATGATTAACTTATTCGGTACCATTATCACTTTGGAGGAATTTAATAGAAGAGTTAAAAATATTTTGAATCATTGCTGTGAAGGTTTTGAAGTGAGTGAAGACCTCAGATTTGTGTTTCATTGGATATATCCATGAATAGCGGGAGAACTCATCAGTGAATAAGACATAGTAACGGAAGCCACTCACAGAAGGAATAGAAGACATCCACACATCAGAATGAATAAAATAAAATAAAATAAAAAGGGAGCATGATTTTGATTAATAGAATATGGTAATTGAGTGGACTTGCTAAGAGCACAACTCGTACAAAATTCTTTATTGAAGGGAGATGGGGATCCTAAGTGGGAGTGTAGTTTGGAGAGAACAGAGGAAGACGGTGACCAAGATGGTTGTGCCAAGTGGAGGAGGAGACTGTGATGAAGGCACGAGGAACAGATGAAGCGGAAGGGGAGGATAGAGACATGGGGTATAACCCATCCTTACAGGGGCCCTGAAAAAGTAATGCACCAGTATGTAAGTCAAAAATGCGATAAAAAGTTGGCGCAAACACAAAGAAGACATGATTATCGTGAGTAAAACGAGCGACAGAAAGAAGATTTTTTGTAAGATGAGGGACACCAAAAACATTACGAAGAGAGAAGGGAGAGGGACCAAGGGAAATGGGAAGATTACCAGTTTGCGTTATAGGAAGGGAATCACCATTGCCCATGAATACCGAATTATTACCAGTATAAGGTTGAGGCTGCTGAAGAGAGGATAGTTGTCCTGTCATGTGGTGAGTGGCGCCGGTATCCGGATACCAGGTGGGGTCATGGGACTGAATCTTATGAGCACCAGCAAAAGATGGAAAGGTTTCGGGCCCAGAATACTTGTGGGGGCATTGAGCAGCAGCGTGTTGAGTGGTAGAACACGTGGGGCACCAATTTGGGGGAGTTGGGCCTAGGATTCCTTGTTGATTCCAAGTGGGCCATGGGGTAGATCCACGAGGAGAGGGATAACCATTCCAAGGGTTGTGCAAAGAGGATGAGGCGCCAGGATGTGTAGAATTATGCCAGCGATGAAAACCATCACGATGGGGGCCACCACGAGAGAAACCACGATGACCACCGTGGCGCCCGCCACGAGAGCCACCGCGTGGGTGTGAGGATCCTTGGTGCGAGATGGATGAGCCTGGCTGAGAAGGAGGGTGAGTGGTGATGAGGGCTGTGCTATTGGCTGTGGAGGCTGAGGAGCGAGAGGTCTGGTTCTTAAAGACCAGCAGACGAGAGCGGAGGTTAGTGAAACTTGGGAGAGCGGGTTGATTTAGGATGGTGGTGACAAGCATGGAGAAGTCAGAACCAAGACCACGGAGGACAGCCGTGACAAGATCTTCATCGGAGATAGGCTTTTGCAGTGGCGGATCCAGGATTGGAAAGCCAATTGGGCGGAACTTACATACTAAACTCGACGGTACGAGTGAATTTCATTAATAATCAGAAAAAGATACACCTAGTCAGGGGGGACGTAATAAGCCTTACCCTCAAATACATCTATACAAAAATAAAAGCTTAACAACAAAAACAAAAACCACAAGTAAATGCAATACAAAACATCACTAATAAATCTAAAATTTTACCCTGCGAGACTTAGAAGTCTTAAATTCCTCAATTATTGATGCATTGGTGATACTATTAGCAAACTCTCTTTCAATGTGGAGGGTCATGCAATCAGCAAGAAACTCATCGGCTATGGTGCTTCGAAGCCGATTCTTAATAATTCTCATACATGAAAAAGCTCGTTCTGTTGTTGCTGTAGAAACGGGCAGAGTCAACACCAACCGAATCAACCTGTTGATCAAACAATAGTTCTCTACCAAACTTGTTTCCACTAATTGTTGACATAAATGAGGAAGAGTGTTGGTTTCCTTAAATCCAGGAAGGCGATGTACATCATTTTGAAAATACATCAACTCTATTTCCAAATCTTTCAACTCATTTGGAAGGAAATCAACAGGATAGAATTTCTCAGCAAGTTTACATATATGCTCAATATTGAATGACTTGAATGAATTACGAGGATCCAATGCTGAGCTAAGAATAAGAAGTTCAACTATTTGCTCTGGAAATATGTCATTTAACTCCCTTAACATGCAATCTATAACATCATTGAATACATCAACGCGATAGTAATGCTCAAATGTAACAAAATCTTTTTGTTGACAAGAACGATGTGTGCTCATCATATAACGAGCACCCATATCAGGAACATCAACACCATGTAGTTCACAAAATGATACCACACTACAGAATAAATCATCCCAGCCATGTACCCTCATATCTTGAAGCTGCATTTTTGTGTTTTCAACAAAATTTAAAGCACTTACAATGTCTTGAGTTTTGGTCTGAAATACTTGACAAAGAAAATTGGTCAATCCCATAATTTTATCCATCAAAACCAATGAAAACACAAACTCAAAAGACATCATAGCAATATAGTTACTCTCAGCATCGCCACGAAATTGTTGGTTAGGTCCATGATCACTGATTTCTTGAAGAAGTAATTTAGTCTCTTTAAATAGACACATCAAACTTGTAATAGAGGCATAATGAGAGCCCCAGCGAGTGGCTCCAGCTCATTTCAAACTACGAGCTTGATTAAGTCCTCTACCTGTCTCAAGTTCTCCAGAATCCAACAACCCATTGAGTTCAACTTTTCTAATTAAGTTTAACTCACTACGACGCTTTTGAATGGAGAAGAGGGCATCGGCAAGAGATTTTGCATGATTGAGGTATTCATCTATGGTTTAAGATCCTTTGGTCATGTCATGAAGCTGGAAACGAAGGTTTGACGCACTCGCAAGATTGCGTTGGGCATAATGGTTTTGTAAGCACTCCCAGATTGATTGGGCAGAGTTATGACCCACGGTTAAGGAGAGAACAGCAGGCGATAGAGTGGTGGTGATGTAGCTGACGACAAGTTGGTCATGTCGGTACCAAGATAGAAAATCAGGGTTCGGTTTGGTCACTGTGGTGGTTGTGGAGGGAGTGTCGGAGGCTATATTTGGAGGAGCCAGAGAAGATAATTGGAGGCTTCAAGTTTGAGGAAGTGGGAGGTGTTAGGACCGGGAAGAGAGGAGGCCATGAGGATCGGAAAGAATTGAAAGGGAGGCTGAGACTTCAGAGGAAAAATTAAAAGGCTGATGCCATGTAAAGGAGAATTTCCCGATGAATATTTCATTAGCTTTGATACAGCTTATATACAGACTTTAGTAGAGATACAAAAGGTAAGAAATATAAAATACAATCAATTACAATGAATCAGTAATTAGACTCAGTGACAGCGAATATCTAATCAATGCAATGAAGGAGAAGATCTTGCAGAGGAATTGGAGGAGAGTTGTGTTGATAATTAATGACTAACTCACTGCCCTTTTAAGATCTTGTTGTTGATGGACTTTGGACAAAGAACTCAATGATGGATGAGTCTTACACACACACACAGAAATTAACCAAGCACAAATGACACAAGTGTTTATAGAGGTTCAGCAAATTGCCTACATCCTCTTTGATGATCACCTTGAGAAATTTCACTAATGAAGATAGGTTACAACTTTGGTTTACAAAGGAAACCCCCTTAGAACACTACCCTCACAATCTGTTTCTCTCACACCCTTGCTCAACACCTTGATACACTTAGAGAACTCTCTTGCTCTCCCCTTAGTTTTTCTGAACACACAACTAAAACTTCAG